TCTCAGGTGATTTTAATGAACATGACCAATATAACAACATCAAATAGTATATAGAGATGTACTGGTTTTAAAAATGACATGGGGCAGGGGTGGCTTGGGTGGCTCAGTTGGTTAAGCGTCTGACTCTTGATTTGGGCTCAGGTGATGATCTCAGGGTGGTGAGATCAAGCCCCATGTTGGGTTCTGTGCTCAGCATGGCGTCAGCTTAAGATTTTCTCTCTCCCTCTGCCTCTGCTCCTCCCCCTGGTCACACACTCTCTTTCTCTCTCAAAATAAATAAATAAAATCTTTAAAAAGTGACATATATGAGTATACAGTCAATTAATCTATGACAAAAAAAGGCAAGAATATGCAATGGGAAAAAGAGAGTCTCTTCAACAAATGGTGTTGGGAAAACTGGTCAGCTAAATGCAAAAGAATGAAACTGGACCACTTGATTACACCATACCTAAAAATAAACTCAAAATGGGTTAAAGACCTGAATGTGAGACCTGAAACCATAAAATTCCTAGAAGAAAACATAGGCAGTAATGTCTTAACATCTGTCATAGAAACATTTTTCTAGATATGTCCCCTCCGACAAGGGAAACAAAAGCAAAATTAAACTATTGGGACTACACCAAAATAAAAAGCTTTTACACAGTGAAGGAAACCATCAACAAAATAAAAAGACAACCTACCGAGTGGGAGAAGATATCTGCAAATGATATATGCAATAAGAGGTTAATATCCAAAATATAGAAAGAACTTATACAACTCAACAGCAAAAACCCCCAAATAATCCAATTAAAAATGGGCAGAAGACGAGCAGACATTTCTCCAAAGAAGACATACAGATGGCCTAACAGACACATGAAAAGATGCTCAACATCAGTAATCATCAGGGAAATGCAAGTCAAAACCACAATGAGATATCACCTCACACCTGTTAGGATGGCTAAAATCAACAACACAAGAAACAAGAGGTGTTGGCAAGGATGTGGAGAAAAAGGAACACTCATACACTGTTGGTGGGAATGCAAACTGGTGCAGCTACTGTGGAAAACAGTATGGAGGTTGCTCAAAAGACTAAAAATAGAATCACAATATGATCCAGTAATTCCATCACTGGGTATTTATCCAAAGAAAATGAAAACACAAATTTGAAAAGATATATGCACCCCCATGTTTACTGCAGCATTATTTACAATAGCCAAGATATGGAAGCAACCGAAGTGTCCATCCATAGATGAATGGATAAAGAAGATGTGGTATACATACAGTGGAATAATACTCAGCCATAAAAAAGAATGAAATCTTGTCATTTGCAACACATGGGTGGAGATAAAGAGTATAACACTAAGTGAAATAAGTCAGTCAAAGAAAGACAAATACCACATGATTTCACTCATATGTGGAATTTAAGAAACTAAACAAATATGAAAAAAAAAACCAGACTCATATATAGGGAACAAACTGGTAGTTGCCAGAGGGGAGGTGGGTGGGGAGATGGATGAAATAGGTGAAGGGGATTAAGAGTATACTTGTGATGAGCACTGAGTAATGTACAGAACTGATGAATTATTATATTTTACACCTGAAACTAATATAACACTGTATGTTAATTATACTGGAGTTTAATAAATAAATAAATAAATAAATAAATTTTTAAACGACATATAACTGAATTCTCATAGTTAGGTATAATGAAGTCATAAAAATGGTAGTTTTCAGGGCGTCTCGGTGGCTAAGTCATTAAGCGTCTGCCTTTGGCTCAGGTCATGATCCCAGGGTCCTGGGATCGAGCCCCGTGTTCGGCTCCCTGCTCAGCAGGAAGCCTGCTTCCCCCTCTCCCACTCCCCCTGCTTGTGTTCCCTCTCTTGCTGTGTCTGTCTCTGTCAAATAAATAAGTAAAATCTTTAAAAATAAAAAAATAAAAAAATTTAAAAATGGTAGTTTTCTTTTAAAGATTTATTTATTTATTTTAGAGAGAGAGCACGCATGTGAGAGGGTGGGGGTGGGGGAAGGGGCAAAGGGAGAGGGAGAGTTTCAAGCAGACTCTGCACTGAGCATGGAACCCAGTGCGGGGCTTGATTTCATGACCCTGAGATCGCAACCTGAGCCAAAATCAAGCATCTGATGCTTAACCCACTGCACTACCCAGCTGTCCTAGTAGTTTTCTTTTAAATAAGGCTTTACAGCTAACAACCGTTTAACATCTATTATCTCATGTGATTTTTTTCACAACTCTGAGGTAGTCAGGGAAGGTGGTGTTATCCCCATTTTTCAGATCAGAAAAGTGAGGCTCAAAGAGTAACACATATGCTTTTAGTCCAAGGTAATATATATAGTTCACTTAACCAGGAATTTTAACTGTAAATCTAGTATTCTACATTATGCTGAAAGGACTAATTCTCTCTCTTCTACTTTTTCTCTTAACTCATTTTTTATTCTAGTGTAGAACTTCCTTTCTCCTTTTCATTGACATATTAAATACCTGAGGGCGAAAGTAGAGTCAAAGGCAAGCAGAAATATAATCACTTTCTTTAACTCTTATTTCTGAGGAAATTGAGAGTTGGGAGACCTATCTAATGGGGGCAATCTTATGGCATTGTTTTCTCCAAATAATTCTACAGTTACTTCCATTTAGACAAACCAACTTAGGAGCAGAGATTAATTTTTAATACTACTATATAAAGTCTAATTGTACTTGTTGGAAATACATATACATTAAAAGTCTCTGATGTGTTCTGTTATCAGGTCAGTAACTATTTTTATTCTATAGAATTTTCTGTACTAAGGGTTTTGTCCAATATAAATGTTATGTCCTTAATCATTCATTAATATGGACTGATCTTTGGAAAGATCTCTGTTTCTTTTTTTAAAAATTTTAAAAAAGATTTTATTTATTTATTTGGGAGAAAGACAGGGAGAGACAAATAAATAAAATTTATTTATCTGGGGAGACAGATAGTGGGGGAGGGACAGAGGGACAAGCAAACTGCCTGCTGAGCCTGGAGCCCAAAGCGGGACTCGATTCCAGGACCCTGAGATCATGACCTGAGCCAGAAGTCAGATACTTAACCGACTGAGCCACCCAGGTGTCCCAGAAAGATCTCTATTTCTGAAAACAACTTAAGGTAAATCTCATTATACCTGTGTATCATCACAGCAGTTCCCACATTAATCTCTCTACTCTGAGACAGAGTGGGATAAATAGCTATTACCTGAATTTCAGGAAGTAACAAACTAAGAAGGATTAAGAGGCACAGGTGAAAAAACGGATGTTAAGTTTTGGATTCAAACCTAAAGTTTGGGGGCGCCTGGGTGGCTCAGTCATTGGGCGTCTGCCTTCGGCTCAGGTCATGATCCCAGGGTCCTGGGATCGAGCCCCGCATCGGACTCCCTGCTCAGCAGGAGGCCTGCTTCTCCCTCTCTCACTCCCCCTGCTTGTGTTCCCTCTCTCGCTGTGTCTATCTCTGTCAAATAAATAAATAAAATCTTTAAAACAAACAAACAAACAAACAAAAAAACCCTAAAGTTTGAGTTATCATAGTATAATACAAAGAACCCCAAACTGGGAGTTAGAAGACATGGGGTTAATCTTGATTCCACCACTTGGTTATCTGTGTAATTTTGAACGAGTCATCTTTACCTCCGATAATCCTTTCCTCATCTTTAAAATAAGGTTGAAAACACATTTTTAATACATTTTGCCTCTTATTTCCCAAGCTTATGGTGAGGGTCAAATGACATAACATCTATGAAATGATAAAGCCCTATGTGAATATAAAATAATACATGCATATATACATATATATATGTATGTTTGTGTGTGTGTATACTCAGCTACTTTCCAGTATTAATTGAATTTGACTGATATTTGATGATCTAATTCAACAAGCTACTCAACAACTATTTTAAGACATTCAGGAGTCAAAGATGAGTAAGTCATAGTCTCTAACTTCTAGGAATTCATAGTTAAGAGAGGATACAAATAATAAATAATTATACAATAAAGGGATAAAAAGGTAATAGATGCATATACTAAATTCTTTTAGAGTCTGATGAAAAGGTAAACTAATCCTACATGAGGCCAAAGGGACAGATGTCAGAGAAGAGATAACAATTAGGCTTAAAGGAAGAGGTTAGTTGCTAGAATTTTATCCAGATACATGGAATTCACTATAGAACACAAAAATACCACAAGATCTGTGTTATAACTGGCTCTGCTTTCAGCAGTTAAAACTAGTACTTGACCTCTTTAGAATTCTCTTACCATAACTCTAAAATGAAAGGTTTAGATAAGATAAATTCCTAAGTCTGAATCAGCTCTAAAATTATATGATTCTGTGAATCAAACTTTGGTCATTGTACAGATACCAAGAAAGAGAAATCAAGAGAGTAATAAAATAGTCACAACTATCAAAAAAGGAGTTTTTCCATTAACTATTTTTCCTTGGAATTTAAAAATCCAAGAATGATATTTATCTCTACTTTGAATAAGCTCTAACACAGTAAAGAGAGGAAACTGGAAGGAAATCAAGAAACTGAGAACCAAACAATGCAGGTAGAGAGCAGGAAGTCAAGCCTTCAGTTCAGCAAAGATGTTGCTTAGACCGCTAAGGAAATAGGCAATAATGAGAAATTATAATGTTTTTCTTCCTATTTACTAAAATAAACTTGGAATAAAATCACAACCAGATACTACAATGTACTCTTCCCTAAAATGAGACAGTTGTTGTTTAAAGTTTTGCCTTGTTAAACCGCTTCTTAAAAAACTGTTTGTATAAAAGGTCAGTTTAAAAATTATAAAGAAAAGGATCAAAAACCTAAATATGCACAACTGAATTTGTTTCAGGAATGGTACCAAAGGTGGATATTGTCAAGTAATATACTTCACCAAACATTTATTAAACTATGTTTAAAAGTTCTAGTTGTTGTAAAGCATAGTCCCAGTACTGAAGGGGTTCACTGACCTAATATCAAGACTTTAAGGAAGAAAAAATAGTAACTCTTACCCATCAATAATATTTTCAGGTGGATGTTTTTCATCACTTGATGTAGCTAAAATCACTTCGGTCCCCTCAGAACTCGAACACAGATCAATTTTTCTCATCTTAAAGTGTTTAACCTGCAAATAAAACAATAATAACAAAAGCAAATTCTTGGTTCTCTGAACTTTATCCGAGAAAAGGGAGAGAGAAAGCCTGTTGCCTAGCACACAGCTTAACAACCAAGCTATTCAACAAGTGGGAGGGACTCTAACATGTTTATTTATGTAAGTAAACTTCTAACCTCCCCCAGGAATAATCTGTAAGATAATGATTATTTCCACTATTCTACTCCACAAAACAAGACACTAACTACTCTGACATCATTTTTCTGATTCTAAAATTAAAAGTCCTCAATAATGATAGAGAAACAGTTAACAGGCTAAGGTAACACGAATTAATGGGTAAATTTAATAAAATTATTTATATTGTTATATTTCTGAAATTTAAAAAAAATCTGGAGCATATAAAGATGTTTTCGTGATTGGTTTTATTTTTTCTTTTTTAAAGTAGGCTCCATGCCCAGCACAGAGCCCAACTCGGGGCTTGAACCCATGACTGTGAAATCAAGAGTCAGATGCTCAACCAACTGAGCCACCCAGGTGCCCCACGTGACTGTTAATCCATACATTTATCAACTGAAGTAGCAAATAATATTATTCACATGCTAAAAAATACCTTACCATCATTATTTTTTGAAGCAGAATGTAAAATAAGAGAGAAGACAAACTTTGCTTATTTTTAAATCTATACCAGTCATTTGGGTCATGGATTTAAAGACATTTCTACTGTATGGTAATATTTCAAGTTTAATAAAAATATCCTGAAAAGATAAGGACCTTGGTGGATTAGACAGAGAAGGCGAGAGAAGATTCTATCAGATCTCACCCACCCTCCTCCTTGATCTGGTGGTGACAGGACACAAACCAATATACAGATGCAAAGTGACTGTGGAAGCTGTATCTATAAAGAATTAAAAGACAAAGAGTGTTTGGAAAAAGGAGGAAGGCTTCCAATATGCCTCATACCCTGGCCTCCGGCTAACTTTTTAAAAAAATGAAACTATTTCAAATAAATAATAAACAAAGCACAGAGAGTATCACATATACTAAACAACTATGTACCCACTGCCTGGATTTAATAAATGTTAACATTTTTGCCCATTTCCTTCCTTGTCCAGAGGTAATAGCTATTCTGAAGTTTATGAATATCTCTTTACTATATTTTATACTTTTATCATATACATATCCATAAACGATATGTACTGTCCTTTTAAAACTTAGATGATTTCTCGCTATATATATCCTTATACTACTTGCTTTTTTCATTCAATATTATGTTTTCAAGTTTTTATCATGTTGATACATGTAAACCTACTTTATTCACTTTAACTGCTGTCAGGTATTTCTCCATTTCTCTAATGATAAATATTTAGGTGTTTCCAATTTTTTGCTATTATAAACAAATTTGAAATGTATACCTTTGTGTATGTATCCTTATCATTTGTGGGAGGGAAGTCTTTATGATAAGAGTATCTTTTTTTACAGAAGTAAAACTGCAGAAACTTAGAATCAGCATATCTTCAAGTCAGTAATTGATCAATTTGATCTTGAAATTTTAACAATTTACACTACCATCTGCAGTGTTTGAGAGTTTCTGCTTCCTCATACTCTCACCAACTTGGTATTATTAGATATTTTGGCTTTAGCCCATCTCATTGGTGTGAAATGGTATCTCAACAGGTTATAATTTGTATTTCCATGATTATTAGTGAGGTTGAATACTGTTTCATATGATTATGAGCCATTCAGGCCTCTTTTTCTGTTATTTGCTTTTCCTCATCCTTTGCTCATTTTGCTATTGGGGTGCTTTTTAAAATTTTTTTGTCTTTTTCTTTTTGGTTTGTAGGAATTTTTAAAATAAAACATTCTGGATACAAATCCTTTGTTATATGTGTTGCATGTATCTTCTACTACTCTGTAGCTTGATTTTTCTTTTTAACTTTGTTTTCTTGTGCATTTCCCCACCCCCACGCACTTTTTTTTATTACTGAACTATAACATACATAAAGAAAAGAACACAAATCAGAATTATATAGAGCGATAAATCTTCACAAAGTTAACACACCCAGGTAATCACCACCCAAGGTAAAGAAATAGAATATTACCAGCACTTGAGAAGTTCTCTGCATGCCCCCTCCCAATCACTTCCCTCCCTCCTCCCCAACATAAGCATGGTCCTTATTTCTAACAGATTAATTTTGCCTGAAATTTATATACATAGAATCATATAGCTTGTACTCATTTGTATCTGGTTTCTATCACCCATTACGTTTTTGAGACTTAGCCATATTGCTGTGTCACAGAGTTAAAGTGCAACTAAGTAAAGTGAAGTAAAATTATAACCCAGCCCCAACCCATCTCAAACCCTAATAAGATCAAAGAAACCATCCCCTAAGTGGAGCTTCACAGGAAACTGGGTGTATGAACTGAAAAGCAAAGAAAGATTTCTTTGATCTTGGGTACTTAGATCCCAAACCCCTGATGGAGGGAACTGATCTCACTCCCAAATATTTGAAATCAGAGGTAAACTGAAACTATTTAAATAAAACTACCAGTCAGTCCAATTCCTAGGTGGACTGAAGTGATCTGCCCCTTATCCTGGCTGTGGGGCAAAGAAAATGGTGAGTTCTCTCTGGGAAAAGTCATTTTCTACTTCAGTGTCTATTATTCTTTTAAACACAACATCCAATGTACAAAGTCACTTCAGCAGATGTATAGATGATCCAAGTATTGGAATTAGCAAAGATAGCTACTATGAATCTGTTAGATAATTTAGTGAAAAGATGGACAAAATGGGTGAATAGAAAGGGAATTTTAGCAGAGAAATGGAAACTCTAAAAAAGAACAAAATGAAAATTCCAGAACTGAAAAGTATAGTATCTCAAATAAAGCATTCATTACATGGGCTTAGCATCAGACTGGACTCAACATAAGAATGGGCCAGTAAACTTAAACATAGGTCAACAGAAATGATCCAAAATGAAACATAGAGAAAAAATGAAAGTAGCAGAACAGAGCATCAGATACCTGTGAAACACTATCAAACTATTCAGAAATATATGTAATACATGTAATACATAAGGAGAAGAGAAAAGGAGTAGCTTAGAAGAAAAATCTGAACAGATACAGCTGAAAATTTTCCAAAGTCTATGAAAGACATAAACCCAAGATCCAAGAAGCTCTTGAACCCTAACTTGGATAAACACTACAAAGAAAACCCCACTTAGACACATCTTAGTCAATCACTGAAAATTAAAGAAAAGATAAATTAAAAGTAGTCAAAGCAAAAAACACATTATGTTTAGGAGAACAAGAATAAAAATTGTCTTCTCATCAGAAACAATGGAAGCCAAAAGTCAGTGGAATGACATCTTTAAAGTGCTAACAGACAAAATACAGAATTCTACATCCAGCAAAAATATCCTTTGCAAGTGAAAGCAAAATATAGGCATTTTCAGGCAAACAAAAGCTGAAAGTATTTGTTTTCAGTGAACACACTCTACAAAAAATTGGAAAATTTTCAGCTATATGGGGTAGGGGGGGCAGAGGGAAAGAGACAAGCAGCTCTGAGCTGAGTGCGGGGCCAACGGGGGGGGGGGGGGGGGGTTTGATCTCACAACCTTGAGATCATGACCTGAGCAGAAATCAAGAGTTGGATGCACAATGGACTGAGTATCTGGTTTTATAATCAAGATTGTACTCCCAACATAAATAAGTTACAGAGCTTCCCCCTTGTCTAGTTGTTGGAGCAATTTGTAAAAGAGAGAGGTTATTTGATCCTGTAAACCTGGTAAAATCTTTGTAGATAGATTTTTTTTTACTATTTCAAATTCAACTGTTCTTTTCAGGTTTTCTACACCATCTTAGGTCAATTTTGAAATTTATATTTTGTAGAAATATTACCTATTTCTTCTTAATTTTTATATTTATTGGCATAAAGTTCATTTTTATTGTAATTTTAACATCTAGCATGATAGTGTTAAAAGCCATGGTAAGACTGGTCAAGAAAAAAGGCATGTATTCTAACATTTTCTATTTGTGCCTCTTCTCTTGGCTTTTTTCTTGCATTTAATACTATTGATACTCGAGAACTAGTGTTAGATGAACATTGTTAGTACTTAGTTTGAAGAAACATGGTAAATTCCTAGAAATACAGATTGATGAACCTCGATGTTAATTCTCAACAAAATTCTAAAATTATTAAATTTCATTAAATACAAAATATATGTAAAATGATATATATAAAATATATAAAATGATAGCCCTGAAAACATAAACAAGATAGTAGTAAAATAGAAAGCAGCAGTAACATTGGTTCACAAAGGTTATGCCAAACCTACACATTTCTTTTTGCTGTTTGATAGAGTTAGTACCAATTAGGGACATGTTCTGAATATTTCAACAAAATTTCAGACAAAGCTTCTTAAGATTCCATATGGACCAGATGGAGAAATGTAGGTTGGGTGACAGGCAGTACTTTAGGTAAATTTTTATAACTCTTTGAATGGCTATGCTCAAAGAATGATGATTAATGGAACAAAATGAACTGTGGAAGACCTCTGTCCTTATGCCATTCAACATTTTTATTAATTAAAGATAGAAAAAGTATTCTTATCAATTTTGCAGATGACACAAAGCTGGGATGTCAGCTAATATGCTAGATGACAGAATTAGCACACAAAGATCTGAGCAAGAAAGAAAGATGGGATATGATGAATAATATATTTAATAAGAATAACAATAAAGGCCTAGACTCAGGCTTAAAAAGTCAATCACACAAAGATTGGTCTTGATTGGGGTTGGCAAACTACTGCTTATGAGCTAAATCTAGCCTGCCACCTGTTTTTGTATGGCCCATGAGTTAAGAATGCTTTTTATTTTAAGATACTTTTAAAATTAAAATAATATTTTGTGACACATGAAGATTATATGAAATTATATGAAATCCATACTTCAGTATCCATAAATAGTTTTATTGGAACTTGGCCATGGTCATCCATATATACACGTATAAATACTATACAAAGTAGTTGATGGCTACTTTTGTGTTATAGTGACACAGTTGCTATGATAGACTATAAGGTTCATAAAATCTAAAATATTTATTATCTGGCCCTTTACAGAAAAAGTTTGCTGACCCTTGATCTAGATGTGTAAAACATATAGGTTTGGCTCATTACAAAGTCACACTATAAGGCAAGAGTGTATTGTATTTGCCCCCAAAGGTAAAGGAATACAATCTTAGATTATATTAACAGAGTTGAGGAGGAGCTACATCCATCAAAATTTTTAGATACCAGGGCACCTGGGTGGCTCAGTCAGTTAAGCGTCTGCCTTCAGCTCAGGTCATGATCCCAGGGTCCTGGGAGCAAGCCCCACATGGGGCTCCCTGCTCAGTGGGGAGTCTGCTTCTCCCTCTCCCTCTGCCACTCCCCTGCTTGTGCTCTAATAAATAAAAAAAATCTTAAAAAAATTTTTTTTTAGATACCAACTAAGGACCAGGCACTGTGCTTGCTAATAATGCAAAGGTGACTACTACCTAAGACACAGATGGTGACTAAGACTTAGTTCTTGCCTTCAAGCTCAGAGTCAAGGAAGACGGACAAGCATGCAACTAATATTATAATGTTATGTCCTAATGGTGTGATCTACATCCAGATACTACATCAGTTCTGCGTAGTATATATTAAGTAGGACATTGTCAGGTTTGATATTATCAGAGGAAAACAAAAAGTTCATGATGATCCATAAATTATCACATGGAGAAAGTTGAAAGAATTAGCTGAAATATTTCAAAAGAGAGATAAGAGAAATGTGATTAATAACACAAGTGTTCAGAAATGGAAAAAGGATTAGAATTTTTCTTTTACAACTCCAAGAGGGAGAACTGGACTTAACAAACACAAATTCTAAGCAGGAAGACATCACAGATAGAAGAACTTACTGGCAAGGTAAAAATTTTAAGTCTTTTCCATCCCTGAAAGTGTCCAAGAAGAGTAGGTGATAATTTATGGAGGAAACTAAAGAAAGTGGTGGTTGCATTGGTGGTTCTTTAAGACTGGATCAATTTCTAGGAAACATAGATTGAGAACAGATAGTGCAGGATTTTAGAAGCCAAGTTAAACACAATAGGTTCTATCCTGTGGTTTTTAACAGGACTGGGGGTGATTTTGCCCCCAAGGGACATTTGACAATTTTGAAAGAGAGTTTGGCTGTCACAACTTGGGGGGGAGGGGTGTGATGCTATTGGCATCTAGTGAGCATTTCACCAGGCTTCTAAATATCCCCATGCACAGGACAGTCCCCCACAACAAATCTTATTTACCCCCAAATGTGACTACAAAGGTGGAAAAACCCTATGGTAATATATTTGGGGGTGCAAATATGAGGGCTGGAGACTTAGGGAGAGAACTGGCTTTTAATAAGTCATATTTTAGGGAAACATAGCATTGATGTGTAGTATAAGAATAAGGAAAAGAATATACTCTCTAAATGTTTAGTCCTTTCCTTGCCTCACATTCTTACCATCTAAATTGTCTGAGGGAAGCCAACATGTACTTTAACACAAAACTCATTTCATACCGCCTATATCCATCAATATCCTTCCTATTTCCTGTGTTGGGTCTAATTATTTAATGGCCGAAGTTGAGTTCTCTTTAAGGTCCCTTGGTTGCTGTTAAAGAGAAAGTGGCAAACCAGCCCCAAAGAAACCCACAGAGAATGTTGCTCCCACAACTCCAAGGTGAAGGTTTGTGTTGTAGTCTAACCCCCCACCCTGGGATACTTACTCTAAATAAATACACACATATTCCCTCAGGGCTTAGATTACTAAACGGGGTGCGCTCTGGGGTGCCCTCCTCTGCATTTTTCAAGGTCTCTGACCCTGGACTTCCCTGTCCCAGGGCCACTGAGCCACCCTTTCATCTCCAGGTCACATCCCTTTCTGGCCCTTCTTTCTGAAAACCTCGAGGGGTCAAGTACGCAGTTCACTTTATCCCTGACTTGGTACTCTCCACATGACTGATGGGGAACTTTTGTGTAAATTAGTAAATGGTCACCCTCTGACTCCCAGGGCCAGGGCCTACGGCTTAGTATCTACTAGAAGGGCAAACCAGCTCTGACACCACCTCCTCGCCCCGTCCCAAACCCTTCTCGGTCCAAGGCCATTCATTTCAAGACCTCCGAAGGTCCTAAGCACTCAGGCTTGTGGACGCCCCACCCCAAATTACATAAAATATATTAAATGAACCAACATCCTACGTTAACTATAACTCATAATATATGGGTTACGCAGCAGTTGAAAGGTTACAGTTTGGTAAACTGGTTAATTTCAATTTGCAACTGTTTTTCCCTTTTGGGAGTGAAAACATTATTTCAGGGTTCAAAAAAGTTCGTGGATCGGCACTGGTGTCTCTAGGGCTGAGGGGAGAGAACGTATCTGCGTCAAAGTTTCCCCATCCCTGTACCCTCACAAGCCGCCCCTCAGCCCTCCCGCCCTCCGCCTCCTCACAACCCTCTCCACCAGCTCCCCGCTTTGCCGGTCGTGTCCAGCAGGGTCCCACCTCCACCGGCGCAGGCCCAACCCGCCCCGCCGTCCCACTACCCCACCACCCCACCACCCCACCACCCCACCACCCCACCACCCCGCTCGCCTGCGCCTCCCGTTAGCTCCAAGCGCGCGGACTATCAGGGCCCCGGATCTCCCTTCCGCTCCGCCCCGCGCAGCGCGGCCCCGCCCCCTACCCCCGCCCCCTACCCCCGGCCCCCAAGTACTTCCCGGGGACGCGCACCCCTCTGCCCGGGTTTTTCGCTCCATCCCACCCGCGGGCCCCGCCCGCGCAACCCGTCTCGGCCTTCGGCCCAGTCCCCGGGGCGTGCGCCTATCCCGACTCCCGCCTCTTCGCTCCTCCCCGCCATTAGGCCCCGCCCCGCGCAGCCCTTCCCGGCCCTCAGCCTCGCCCCCGGAGCGCGCGCACCTCTTGACTCCCGGTTCTTTGCCCCACCTCTCCCGCAAGCCCCGCCCCCGTGCTCTCCTTTATTTGGCGGGTTGAGCCGCGCCGCCCCACCTTAGGGCCTTTCCCCAAGCAAGTGCCTGATCCCGCACCACCTACCCTCCCCCACCTCAGATCAATCCTAGGGGCTGGCTGGACCCAGGGGACCCACCCTCGCGCGAGCACGCACGCGCAGTCCCCACCTCTCCCGGATCCGAGCCCTCGGCCCTCAGGTCTTCTGCCCAGGGCCCGGCCCCGCCTCCGGCCCGGCCCTGCCCCTCATGCCGGCTCCCGCGCACGCGCATCTCCCCAGCCCAGCCTTTCCCCCGCCCCTCGCCAGCCCCGCGGTCCCACGGCGCCAGGTCGCCCCCAGCCCCCTCCCTCCTCCCAACCTCTCTCGGTCCCACCCTCCCTAGCTTTGTGCCCGCGGCGCCGTGCCGCTTCCCCCATCAGCCGCGCCGCGGGAGGAGGGAGCCGCCACCGAGAAGCTGCCGCTCGCAGCCCCGGGCAGGGGCACAGGTAGGTGGCGGCCGCGGGCTGGGCCGCTCACGCCGCCCGGGGCTGCGAGTGGGGGCGGGGGCGGGGTGTGAGGGAGGGGCGGAGTGGGGGAGGGGTAGACCGGGAGGGACGGGGTTGGGGTGTGGTTTGGGTGAGAGATGTGAGGATGAGGATAAAGGGGTGTGGGAGATGGGTTTAAGGGTGGGGTCGGGGTGCCGCGTAGGGTATTTGGGGGCAAGGTGGGAGAAGGGAGCTGGGTTAGTTTAGGCGGGCTTGGGGAGGGGTATGCGTGGGAATTGAGGGAGGGATGGAGAATTGCAGTGCTGAGGAAGGGGAAAACGGAGTGGGATTTGAGAAGTGGAAGAAGGGGAGGATCTAGGATTGGAAGAGAAGGGGTGGGGTCTTGGGTGTAGGGAAGAAAAGTTGGGGCAGTGGGTTGTGAAGTTGGGCATCGTGAGGAGTGAAGGAAGGGGATTTTGAAGGTTATAGACAGAAGACAAGAAAAGGAATGGGGAGATCGGAGTCTTAAGAATTCCAGAGACTGGGAGGAAGGGAAGAATACTGGTGAAGGACAGAGGAAGAGTGCCTAGGGGTGGAACCGCTGGGGGTGGAACCGTGCAGGGAAGGAAGGAGAGGCAGGTGGAGGTGGAATTGCATGTTTGGGGCCAGGAACCTCATTTCAGAAGGGCCTTGGTAGGATTAGAAGGGCCTGAGGTGTGAGAGGTAGGGCCAGGGATGCTGGGACTGGATGAAGGAGGGGAGTTAGGATTTGGAGTGTAGAGATTGGGTTTTATGTTAAAAATTCTTGAGTTGGCAGGTAGAAGAACTGTAAGAGTGTCAGGATGTAGGAGAGATTGGCATGCTCCTGGAGGGAAGTAGGGAGCTGGGTATGGTGGGGCCTTTGGAGCTTTGGGGGAGGAGAGGGTATGGGTGAGAAGGCAGGTAGGAAAGTGCACTCTGTAGGGAAAAAAAATGAGAGGAGTGGAAAATTGAATAATGGTGGTGACTCAGAACAACCAAGGTAAGATCGGTAGTTGGTTATTGGTGGTTTGGAACTAGTTTCTGTCCAAGTTTTTGTGTAGAAAGTTTCTCAAAAATGCTGCATTTTCAAATAAACCAAGGGTGTCTGAAGCCTTGGGATGAAGGCCATGGCTTGACAGATGTTTTCCTGGTGTGTGGATGTGGGTAATTTCTGCCCTGGCAGAGGGAGGAAGGGAGGCCTCATTGTAGCTCTGTCCTGGCTCTGTTCCCACCAGCTCTTTCCTCATATGTCCACTGTTTTTTTTATCTCCTCCCTGCCCCCCCACCCCCAACTTAAGCCAGTGAATACCAGAAGGGTCAAACAGGTGGGTGAGATTAATTTTTAACATCTTTTTTTAATCCTTAAGGCTGACGTCATATTTTTATTCTTGAGAGACAGCATCATGCAGTGGAAAGAGCTTGAGCTTTGGAGTAATACAGCCTTGAGATTGAATTCTGGCTCTGCCACTTAGTAGCTCTGTTCCTTAAGTAAGTTACTTTACTTCTCTGAGCCTTTTTACCTGTTAAATGGCAATCCTGACCTCTTAGGATTGTTGAGGGTTACCTGAGATCACTTAATTTTGAGTACCTAGCACAATGCTTAGCAACTGCTGGGTGCTTAACAAATGGTAGCTATCACACCCAGTATCATTATCATCGCCACCATCATTACTATGATTTATTTTTAGGGGATTGTTAGTTTATCTACTAAAGTTTGGTGCTTTTTCTCTTCAAATTAGAGAGCCATAGATTCGGTTCACAATTTTAATCCTCTGGCCTCTGTCTCTGGTTCCCTCCCTCCAGTCCACTGATTGGGATGGTCCTGCTTCTTGCTTGGTAAACTGGCTTCAAGATCTAAAAAGTTGTCATATTTAGTTATCAATTATTTTAGACTGCCTCTTATTGAAAGAGGCTACAGAGAACTGAGTTCTTTATGTAGTAAGGTTATATTTTGTTCATTTGATGAAATGGTATGCTTTGTGGTAACTTTGGATCATTTGTGGTGACTGAATACTAGAACATGCACTGTGTAATATTTTTCTGTGGGGTTGTGTGGTTTACAAAACTGCCTCTCTGGAGACAGGCTGGAAGACCATCAGAATGCCCTGTTACTCTGTTGATGTAATATAAAATATAGTTAATGCAGATCTAAACTGGACATTCTTGCAGATACTAATTATTTTAACTTTTTAGTTTGTAGGGGGTTATTGCCATAGTGTAGAACAGGCCCTGTCGCTTGAGGGCCCATTTATAATAGACCACTGCGTACAACAGCCAGGCATAAGCAAAGCCCAAGTATAGAAGCTGTATGTGGAATTCTCTTGCCTTTATGGTTCTTAACCTTGCAAGGTTTAAACATTAATTTAATTCTTAGGTCATTTTATAGTATCTCACAAACTCTCGGGAAGCTTCTTATTGAGAGATGCGCAAATTTAGTAGTAGAAATCAAAGGTTACCAGGATTTCCTGAACCAAGGTTATTAGTTCCTCAAGTACCTTCATTGAAGAGCAGAGGAGCCTTGGGGCTTCTGGACAGATAATGTGGATTTTACTCTTCAGGAAATACGGATTTTTTTCTTCATCATTTAGAAAGACAACTAGCATTTGATTAGGAATTTAGAAGGAAAAAATAGCCTTTTTGAAAATGATCCATGTAAAGAGAAGATGCCAGGATTTGGGGCAGCCTGGGTTAGCGTCCTTACTCTGGTCCCAGGCTGCTTGTGCCCTCTGCTGGATGGAATCAAACTTTTCTGATTTTTCACCTGAAGTGGTCATTTATCCATTTGTCCATTTGACTCCCAAAGTTTGTGGAACACACTATTGGGGTGAGGGTTAGGAGTAATATGCATGGGCAGACCCTGTTTCATTGTCAGGGAGCTTATGGTGTGCTGATCCATTATAATATGTTCTCCTCATAGAGTTTGCCTTTCTATTATTACAATCAAGTTATTCCTTTTTAGGGCCATGCCTGGTGAGTAATTTCTGATCCACGGGTAGAGTAGGGCTCTGAATGTCCAACCAGGGATAAAGACTGAGGGCATCTGCTTTATCTCCTCATCAAGATTAAAGTCTGTGAGGTTGCAGGTGCTAGGTGCTGGAAGAAGAGCTTAGAATAAGTGAGGCATCTCCTTAGCAGCAGTCTCTGAATACTGGCAAGAGTATGGGTTATAAGAGCTGGCACCATGACAGGAATTTTTTGTGTGAGTTTTAGGTTTTTTTTCCCCTGGTAGCACCAGCAGCAATATCTTCCCATCATTTGCTTTGCTTCTACCACCTGCAGAAGGGTCTGGCAAGTGGGGGAGGAGCCTGCAGCTGTTGCCTAGAAGAGGAGCTGGCTCCTAGCAACAGTATCAGCAGGCCCTGCAGCTCAGAGGCCTCTGAGGTCCCTCAGTCTGTCCCTTTGAGGTCTCACCCTTCCTGTCATTCAGTTCAGCACGTATCTGTTGTGGGCTCACTCAGTACTAGGCACTGTGTTGGGCCTGGGAAAAAGAGATGATTCAAGTCAAGTAAGTGTCTTACCTTCAAAGAGCTCACAGCTCTGGGAACGTTAGCAAGTGAACATAGCATACAGTGCTAAGTGCTATATATAGAGGAGAAACTGGTGCCCTGGGAAAACCAGACAGGCATGCACTGGTGCAGGGGTTAGTGAAGATTTCCCAGGAGAGGGATGGTGGTTGAGCTGAGTTTTAATGATGAATAAGGATTAACTAGGTCAGGAAAGCAGAGAAGGATGTTGCAACCAAAGGGAGCAGAATCGGCCAAGACCGGTGGGGCAAGAGAGCATCGCTAACTTACTTGGGTCGTGGGGCACGGCCGAAGAGTGGGGTGTAAGGAGCTGGGCAGGAGAGGGTGAGGCTGTCAGGCTAGGCACGGCCCTTCTTTCTGATGTGCTTTTACACACATAATTATCCTCGGGAGAAACAGGGATCGTACTGATGCCCACAAACAGGATCCCTGTTTGATCTCCAGAGACTCAGCATTTTTGATCACTGACTTGATTGTTTGCTGACACTTTTACATGGCATCAGAGCTATATCCCAGCCCTGCATTGATGAGAAGAAGCTGGGTTAGTTCACTCTAAAAGTGTGAGTCTTTTAAAGATAATGGCAGCAATTTGACATGTATAGAATTTTAGCTCTCACTACTCTTTAAATTGTTGTGGAAATGATAATCAAATTCTTTCATTTAACATAGCAATTTCTTGTGTAATTTGAGATCGCACAGTTTCTCAGGAAAACATATTTTATCCAATTAATGCTTGAGCACAAAATGTCGCCCAAAGGATTGCATAAATGCCCACTGTTTTTGGTGTTTTGCCTTCCTTCAAAAGTGACCTAATAGATGTTTCCAAGGAGTAGAATAGCTTTTTTTTTTTTTTTTTTAGCTCTTGTGATGGAGGTCTTTCTTTGTAGATCCAAAAAACCCTATTGCTGATAGTCTATGCGAGGCTTAGCAAATGAGTAGACTTTAGTTCCACAAATACCCACTCAGGGTCTGTTATATGCCAGAGCACCATGTTAGGGAGTCTGGATGAATTAAACATGGTCCCTCTCCTCAAGAAACTCAAACTAGTGGAACGCAGGCCCAGAAAATAAATCAGTAGCAAAACACTGAGTCAACAAAGATGTCAAAGGTGCAAAGGTAGCAAGGAAGTTACTAGTTTCTGGTCTTCGTTCTGTGCGTAGTTATGTTTTTAAAAACAGAAATAGTAAATTCTTTATGTACTGTTTGTAACTTGTAAATTAATAAATATTTTATGATTTTAATGGCTGCATAACAT